CGCGTGGCTCGGCCGGGCGGGCAGAGAACCGGGGCGCGCCGCGAAGCCCGGCCGGGGCAGGGGCGCTGCGGGCGAGGCGTGTGCCGTGTGGGTGCGGTCCGCCAGCTACGCGCAGAGTAGAGCCAGGCTGGAAGGGGCAGGGGGTGAGGGGCAAGGTGGGCAGGGACAGATCGGTCGAGCGACCGAGGAGGGCACAGCGGAGGCGGCCTCCCAAGGTCAGCCGCCTGGGTCCCAGGACCAGCGGGGCCTGCCCTCCGCCCTGCTCCCGGGTCGCGCTCCCCGCGCCCGGCCCGAGCGGTAACCGTGCGTCGGGGGTGGGAGAGGGCACGCGCGGTCCCTGCCTCCCCTGAGCTTTATTTTGCTTCGCGTGGTGTCCGCTGTCCCATCCATTTTCCTGCCCACACAGGACCTCCTTCGTGGCCGAGCGTCCTCCGCCCAGCCGTGTAGACACGCCGGCCTCCTGCGCAGCACCTGCGGGAGCAGCGCGGCAGGGCCCGCCGGGTCCTGGCTGTGGGCTCCGCGGGCGCCGGGGCGCAGCGTGCTTCCAGAGTTCCCAGGGCCCTCCGCACTGTTCTCCACGTGGCTGTGTTAATTCCCGTCCACCCGTGCGTGCAGTATTGTTTTGCCTGCGCTGGCGTCCTCCCTTCTTTATGATAAGGGCCGTTCCAGTTGCGGTGAGCTGGAATCTCACTGTCGTTTTGATTTGCGTTTCCTTGAGGGCTAATGATATTGAGCACTTTTCATATATTCATTGGCCATTTGTAACTCCTCTTCTCAGAAGTATTTATTCAGATCTCCTAAAATTGCATTCCTTGTTTCAACGGTGTTGAGCTTTTGGAGTTCTTGGTATACTCTGGGCGTTAATCCCCTGTCAGAGGAGCAGCTGGCCGAGGTTTCCTCCCGGGCGGTAGGCTGTCTCCCCACCGCTGTGCTGTGGCTGTGTCCTCTGAGGGAAGGCGACTGGAGCCCTACCCAGACCATCATCACCGATATGGCGGCAAACCTATGGCACCCGTGTCGCAGTGCACTGTTTGTTATCACTGAAGGCCCTAAAAGGTTCGCCATCACTGGTATTGGCATAGATTCGCCCTATGCTGAAGTCTTCTTTTGTTTGTTTTTTGAGACAGGCTCTCACTATGTAGCTCAGGCTAGCCTTGAACTAGTGGTGGTCCTCCTGCCTCAGCCTCCTGAGTCTAGGATTACAGGCCTGCACCACCACGCTTGGTTTACACTAAAGTCTTTAGGTGGGTCCCCGGGGTTTGCTTCTAGCTTCCCAGTCTCAGGTCCTGCAGGACGGTCTCGGGTCAGTTTGAGTTGAGTGGAGTCGTTTGAGTCTCTGCAGGTGGCTCTCCAGTCCTCTGGCATCGCTGGGAGAGGCTGTCCTGCCTCCAGCCTGTGCTCCGGTGGCTGGGTGTGGATGTGGGTTTGCTGTGGTGCCGCACTGGTCTACGTGCTGGGGACCCGACCACTGCCAGTGGGATGCTCTTCTCACTGTGGTCACCTGCAGAGCGGACTGCAGCAGGCCCAGGAAGCCGGGTCCTTGCCGGAAGTCGCTGCAACTGGTGGAGCGGAGCTGGCAGCTCCTGCCGTTGCCTGGGTAGCAGTGATGTTGGAGGAGCCTGCTGTGGGGTTGGAGGAGCGAGAATGCTGTGGTCTGGGCCTGAACGCTTGGAACCGGAGGAAGCTGGTTTCCGGGCCAGGCTGGGGGCGGTGGCGGGCTTGGTTTAGAAATGCTCACTCTACGGGAGCAGCGCCCGGCAGGGAAAAACTGCGCTGGAGGCGAAGAGCAGAGGTCCCGGGGCGGGGCGGGCGGGGCGCCGGACAGGGGCGGGGCGGAGGGGCCTGGAAGCTGCAGACTCCTTGGAGGAGCAGGGAGGTGGCCTGGGCTTGGAAGATTGCAGTCAGGCCGGAGCAGGGAGGGAGAGTGACAGAGGGGGGCAGAGCGGGGGAGCCCAGAAGGACCCTGGCTTCCAACCCAGCCTGCATCGGGGAGGAGAGGCACCCAGCATGGCAGCTGCTTTTGCCCTCAACTGGGTCAGGCTGTGGTGCCCAGGCTTGACTGAAACACCAGTCCAGGGTTTCTGTGAGGTGTGCTGGCGTCAGATGCCACTGGCGTCTAAGTCTGTGGGTGCTGCTGCTGGTGGTGCTGGGGCCTGAGCCCAGGGCTTGGCGTCGGCTGCGGGTGCTCAGCCCTGACCCCCTGCGGCACAGGTCTGCACTCTGAGCCCAGCAGATGGCCCGTCACCAGGAAGGGGGGTCTACACTCCTACTCTGCAGATCACAGGAGCGGATGCTTAAGCTAGGGACCCCAGCCAAGCCCTCTCCTGCTCCCTGGCTCAGTCTCTGCAGGTGTCACGGTGTGCATCTAGATGGGCCCCAAAGCCTTACCGCTCCCAGGCGGGCAGGCGGAACACGATGGGAATTTGAGTGCTGCTAGCCACTGGAGGTTGGGGGGCGGGGTCTGGTGTGAGGAGGGGGTCGGGGAGGCGTGGCCTGGAGGCTTCCTCTCCCTCCTGCCTCTTCCCTGGCTGCTTCTGTCTTCCTGTCTGTGGCAGCTCCCCACGGCCCTGTACCGGGGACCCTGTGGTGCAGCCCGCGAGCCCGCGCTGAGTCGGAGCCAAGGTAACCCTGTCCTCTTGGAGCTGCGTGTGGGCGGTGTCGCAGGACAGGAAAGTAAACCAGGCACGTGGCGGGGTTAGCCCGACTGCAGAGCTCACTAAGTCCTGGCCTCCGGGCGGTGCTTCTGGACCCTAATTTAAGGCCAGGGAATGAGCTTGTTCTTCGGCTCTTTCCCCACGTTGTGTGACTTACTTGCTTCCTATCTGAGGGGTTCCTGGCGTCCTATGTGCGAGGCCTTGACGCCCAGCTCCCGAGTTCAGGGACTGCGCTGCAATTCCTCGGGAGCAGCTGCAGTGGCTGCAGAGCGTGACTGCCCGCCCTCAGCACAAACTCAGCTCCTCTTGTGGTCGGCGCTGGCCCTGTCCCTGTCGCCCTGGGCTCGGTCACTCTGTCCCGAACGTCCCCCGGGGGCCTTGGCTCCGGCATTCTCCCTGTCCTGCCCACCCCACTGCCCTTCACAGGGGCCTCTCCTCAGATGACCATTCAGAGCGAGCTGCTCCAGCCACACTAGCTAAAACCGCACCTTCCTGAGGTGCGCTCCGTGATGCACACTGCAGTCCCGTCTACCCAGTAAGCTGATGAGGAGGAGTGCAAATCTGAGCCCATACTGGGCAAGTTAACAACTCGGTGAGATCTGGTCTCAGTAAAAACCAAACAGGCTGGAGATGTAGCTGAGCACTAAGGCTCTGAGTTCAGTCCCCGGTACTAGGAGAGGGAGAAGAAAGAAAGGAACAAACTAAAACCTTTAACTGAAGTGCGCCTTTCTACCTCTACCCCTACCCCAATTCCATACCTGGGTTTCTTCTTACCACTACCTTGCCTTGCAGGTTTATTTCATCTTTCTCATCCTCCACTAAAATGTAAACTTTACACAGGCAGGGATCATGTTTACCACCGGTGCCTGGCATGTATAGTAGGTGCTCAATAAATTCAAGTTAACAAGTGAGTTTCCTACACTGGAGAAATGGCAGTGAATGCAGAAGAAATAATTGCAAAGATTATATGGAAGTGAGACAGGGGAGAGACCCAGCTGGGTCATCTCTCTGGCTCTGATGCAACAGAAGAATGAGGAAAAGCAGTTAAACGTGCAACACTAGAGAATTTCCACTCAAAAGTGCAGGACATGCTTGCAGAAGGAAAAAGGAGAGCTGGACACACACAATTCAACACAGGCACATCCTGGTTAGGCGATGCGCCATTAAGAGCAAAGGAAAAACTCTGCAGTCTTCCAGGCAAAAAAGGGCAGCATAGGAAGAGGAAATCCTGTGGGACGCATACTTGTTCTTAGCAATATTTAAAGCCAGAAAATAAAGTGAAATATCTACGTTTTAAGGCAAAGCCAGCATGACCCTAAGTTATTAAGTCTAATCAAGGACCACTCCAGAATTCATGA